TCCTCCCGGCCTGGGGCACGAACCCGTGTCCCCTGCATTGGCAGGCGGACTCTCAACCACTGCGCCACCAGGGAAGCCCTGTGGAAATTTTTTTAATTAATTTTATTGGAGTATAGTTGATTGGAAAAAAATTTTAATAGAAATTATTGGTTTATTTATATCTAATAACTGAAAGACCAACTTTTTTTTTTAATGACAATCTTATAAAAATGTTGAGAATAGTATTGCAAATCACATAACTGATAAGGGATTTGTATCCAGAATATATAAAGAACTCTTACAACTCGATAATAAAAAGGGGTTCTGAATAGACACCTCTTCATAGAAAACATACTAATGGCCAATAAGCACATGAAAAGATGCTAACATGAGTCATCAGGGAAATGCAACTCAAAACGACAATGAGGGCTTCCCTGGTGGCACAGTGGTTGAGAGTCCACCTGCCGATGCAGGGGACACGGGTTCGTGCCCCGGTCCGGGAAGATCCCACGTGCTGCGGAGCGGCTGGGCCCGTGAGCCATGGCCGCTGGGCCTGTGCGTCCGGAGCCTGTGCTCCGCAACGGGAGAGCCCACAACAGTGAGAGGCCCGTGTGACACAAAATAAAATAAATAAATAAATAAAACAACACAAATTTTAAAAGAAAACGACAATGAGAATCACTTCATACCCACTAGGATGGCTATAATCAGACAATAACAAGGGTTATCAGGGATATGGGGAAACTAGAACCCTTACACACAGTCGGTCAGAATGTAAAATGGTGCAGTTTCTTTAGAAATAGTCTGGCAGGGCTTCCCTGGTGGCGCAGTGGTTAAGAATCCGCCTGCCAATGCAGGAGACACGGGTTCCAGCCCTGGTCCGCGAAGATCCCATGTGCCACGGAGCAACTAAGCCCATGCGCCACAACTGCTGAAGCCCGCACCTAGAGCCTGTGCTCCGCAGCAAGAGAAGCCACTGCAATGAGAAGTGCATGCACTGCAACGACGAGTAGCCCCCGTTCACTGCAACTAGAGAAAGCCCGCACATAGCAACAAGACCCAATGCAGCCACAAATAAATTTATTTATTTAAAAAAATAAAACAGTCTGGCAATTTCTCAAAAGGTTAAACATAGAGTTAACATTTGACCCAGCAATTCTACTTCTACATATATACCTAAAATAAATGAAAACGTGTGCACAAAAAGTGTACCTGAACATTCATCGTGGCATTATTCATAATAGCCAAAAAATGGAAACCACAAATGTCCAAACAACTGATGAATGAATAAACAAGATGTGATATAGCCTTACACATACACACTTGTAATATTACTCGGCAATAAAAAGGAATAAAGTACTAATATATGCTTCAACATGGATGAACCTTGAAAACAGCTCATCCAGAACACAAAGTAGATTAGTGGTTGCCAGGGGCCTGGGGGAGGGATGAATGGAGAGTGCCTGCTAATGGTTACACGGTTTTGGGGGGATTGATAACAATGTTCTGATATTAGATAGTGGCAATGATTGCAAAACTCTGAATATACTAAAAACCACTGTATTGGGCCCTGAAAGCATAAATTTTTTGGTAAAATTCATAAATCTCAATAAAGCTGTTATTTATATTTTTAAAAACCTGCAACAACTCAGATGTCCTTCAAAAGTGATTAGTTGCACAAACTGCAGATACCATGGAATATTGTTACTCAGTAATAAATAAAACATATACACACTGCATGAGTCTCTGGGAAATTATGCTTCTGCTGAGTAAAAATAGCCAATCCTAAAAAGTTGCAGACTGTATGATTCCTTTTATATAACATGCTTTGAAATGACAAACTTTCAGAAATGGAGAACAGATTAGTGATTGTGAGGAGTTACAGAAGGGGGGCCTTGCTGGAGGGAGGTGAGTGTGGTTATAAAAGGGTAACGGGAGGGATCCTTGTGGTGATGGAAATGTTAAGAATCTTGAATGTGGTGTAAATCCTACACACGATTAAGTTGTACAGAACTAAATACAAACCAAAAAATGACTATAAATGTAACTGAGGAAATCTGAACATGATCTGTGGATTGTGTCAATGTCAGTATCCTGGTTGTAATATTGTATGTTAGTTTTGCAAAATGTCACCATTGAGGGAAACTGGGTAAACAGTACACAGGACCTCATCAGCAAGGACCTTTGATGCACGGAGAGGATATAACATAGATGAAGACATTGGAATGCCAAAGATTATGTGACAGCCTGCAAGTGGCACACAGCCACAAACAAGCCAGGGCTCTGGACACCCATTCCTTCATTCAACAAATATTTATGTGAGTGACACCAATGCCTCAGATCCCCAGTTGTAGAATCTAGGCCCTAGCGTTATAGCCATGAACAACCCTCAGGCCAGCCACAGCTCAAGGAGGTACAAATGACCCCTCGCTGTCCCTAGTGAAAAAGTCCAGGGTCACTGGCTGTGGGTGTGAACGTAAGAAGGGAGACAAAGGAGGATAATGAGGCCAAATAGCTCTGGCCCACAGCATCCGTACTGGCAAAGACACCAAACCTCCTAATGCTCTTGCTAGGAGGCAGGAGGTGCGGCTTGGCCAAGAGGCCAGGACTAAAGTAACAGGATAAACACGGGCGGGCTGGGGGCCGAGGCTGGTTTGGGGCAATGCGGTTGGGTTGAGGATTAGAGAGCTGGTGTCCAAGACTAACGCCTGCCGGAAACTACAGCTCCCAGTGTGCCTCGCGGTCCGCCCTAGCGGTCATGTGACCGCTGCTCACGTGTCTCCGCAGCCGGCCGGGGCTCAAAGCACCGCAGGTAAGTGAAAGGAGGTACAGGTTGGTGGAGGTGAAAACGTTAGGTCCCTGGGTCCCCAGGGCCGCCACCGCGGCAGAGCCCTGCCCACTCCCTGCAGGGTTCTGCAGCCCGGCGTCCTCCGCCCCACACCCGCCTTCGGTCGGCCGGCCCTTGCCGCGCCTTAGCCCGGCCTGTCCCCACCTAGTCTCCACCTAATCAGTCCTAGGCCCGGATCGAGCGCCGGGGCCCGTCCCCAGTTTACCCCACAGCAGCCCACTCTCCTCGCTTCAGGCCTGAGGAGCGCCCCCACTCCTCGCCCTGGGTGCGCCCTGGCCCACCTTCCAATGCAGCTCACCCCTCGTATTTCTGGGATCCAGCCCCAGGCTGGCCTGGGAACCTGCTCCGGTTGGGGTCTGAGGGGCCTACTGTAGTGGTTACAGCTCTGGCCTGAGCGTGTGGGCATCAGGGTTCTAGTTCTGGCTCTGCCGACGAGCCGC